TTTGGCGTAGAGAAAGTCGTCTTTTTATCTTGGTATAAGCATTAGATTTCTACGATTTTGAGCAAGACGACAGCCTCCCGACACTTCTATTGCTCGATTCTCTGCCTCTGCGAATGTACACAAGTTACTTTGTATGCAGAATCGTATACCCAGAAAAGGCAGACAAATAAGCAAATAGTACGACCTAGAATGTGATAATACACCAAAGAGAAGAAAAATCCAGAAAAAGTACAAGAAGAGATTTATATCTCAGTGCCACAATTATTTATAGATTATAACATAGTAACTTAAAAAGTTTAAATGGGCAAAGTCATATTATACAAGACTTGTTAACTAGAGTTCAATCCTCTTAAGTCGACAACATGAACGTTAGGATTGTTACGCCATACCCTTCGTGTATCTCGAGGAAAGTCTACTACCACTTCAAAGTGCTCTGGCTGGCATTTTCGAAATCCAGAGAGCCCTTTTCAGCAATAACTTCTGTGAATGCAATTGCAACAAAAGATCAGTCTGTACCATCAATTAACAGTAAAAACTATCATCTTTTCCCATAATGAATTTAGGGAACGTGCAGAAATTTTCATGCCCAAGCAACTAAGATAATGGAAGCATGACCGAGAAATAGAATTGTAAGACTATACTAAAACAAGAAACAAGAATTAAGCAATCACAAGTAATTAACATGTCTGAATAGCAAAAGTTCCTAATAGATATGGATATCACATATAAAGCAATCCATGTTTGAGCACCTGTTTAAGAATCTGGAGGAGGTGGTGGTTGCTGAGGCCACATCTGCTGACCCATATAAGGATGAGGCTGCTGGGCATAAAGGGCAGGATCAACGGGCTTCCCCACAAACATCCCTGGAGCTGCAAGTGGTGGAGCAGGCTGTGGTGGCATGTAATAGTAAGGAAGCCCTTCAGCGGGACCCCCAACAGGGAGGCTTTCTCTGGGAATTGAGGCAAACACCTCATCTTTCAGATCCTCTCTTGGTACAATATCAACCAAGAAATCAAATATCTCCGTCCTTGTAATGGCTGCCGCAATGTCATTTTTCTGGAGCGTCCTCCTTTTGTTCTCCTCCGTGTGGTTCCATGCACGCAACGTCAACTCAAGAATGAACATTTCACATGCTCGGGCAAAGATAACTGGTGCTTCGGCTGATATCATTCTAACATCTTCATCTGCTTTCATTATCTTCTTGATCCTAGCCAATGGCAGGCTATGGTTCTTGAAATCTGTTACCTGGTCAATTTCTTCATATTGATTTGCCCAAAAATTCTGGAGTTGCTGTTGCAATTGCTGTTGCTGCTGCTGATGAATGTGCTGATAAGCAAGTTGGTGTTGCGCCATCTGAGCTGGAGAAGTCAAGAGTCCAGCTGTTTGGGAAGATTGAGTTGACCCAGCTGATGCAGGGCCAGATGGTCCTGTCATTTGGTTTCCTTGATATGATGTCACACTTTGTGGATTCTGAGCAGAGCTACCCACCACTCCCATACCTTGGGGCTGTCCATTTACTTGCTGATCCATTGGCAGTTACAATTTGTCTTTCTGAATGACAGTCACCCATGATAACAGATGTCAGAAATAAAACATCTAAGCACGTGAAATATAAATAAAATGTATCTGGTTGTGAAACATTTGAATCAGGGCGAGTATCTCAAAAAATCTATAATTTGGATTACATGTGGAACCACATGATTGATCCTGCAAACTACATAGTAGGGACCACCTCCGAACTCAGTCGTCCTCCAAATCATAAAGCAGATTTACAAGCTTTTATTACACAACACAGAGCATCTTCTTCCAGTTAACACACAGCAAAGTCTTACAATTAAAAAGGCTGCCTATTTTTGTATCAAAAGGTCCATATTCCATGTGATTGCAACTATTAGAATATGATCATAAAGGATCATAATAAACCTTTATGGAGTCAATAATCAAGATATCAATATCTTATAATTTCTAGAGCTGGAATCAAGTTAAGCATTCCTAATTCTTGAAGGGTTAAAGGCAGTTGCTACCTTTAAAAGACCTTAGCAACAACGAAACAGTAAAAAAGGAAAAATATGATACATTACACCAATCACACAGCACAAAACAGTCATATATCACACGTTTTAAGAAGGCTAGAGTTTGATATGGAGCTGCTGGCAGTCAGTAGGAAAGACAAACTGCAAAAACACAGTATATTTCATCACTTGTCTTGGTTATTAGATGTAATAAGAACATCAGCCTAGGTTTGAATGTATCGATAACATATTCTTAAGACTCCTGAGTCCAGAGTAAAGGTTTTGTGAGGTAACATACTAACATGGTACTAGAATTTTGAGAATGCATCACATATAACACGTAAAGAAAATAATGCACCAGAAGCTTAGAAAGTATTATAAGAAACAGGATATTCCAAAACCCAGTAATCAGCTTAAAACTCAATAAAGGAGGAAACTCGGTATCATAAATGGACTGCTGCAGTCTGTATATGTTATATTCATATTTTTTTCAAAAAATGAAAAAAGAAAAACAAGTACATATAAGAAACGCAAGTATAATCAAAACATGGTGAGGAAAAGTCATTTTTAGTTAGACAGAGATGGTTCTAGATCGTTATATTATTAACTTAAAAACAATCATATTCTTATTATCATGTGAAGAGGAGGGGAAAGGATGAAAATTACTTCAGAAAGTAGAAATTTTGTAAAATCTTGTTTTCTTCTGGCAAGCAATTGTATAACAATTTAGTAGAATTTGTAGACCATTGATTACTTCAAAGTATAAGCAAACTATGAACACTATATGCTGGTACAATTCACACTGCTCTGAAAAAGAATATTCTTAAAAAGGAATGATAATAAAAGGGGAAAAAACAAGGACAACAACTCGACATTACAAATCTGATGTCATGTTGCGTATTTATGCATGTCTGAACAAACCAAAATTACCAAAGATATGCTCTAAAACTCGCCACAAAGGTCCAAAAGCTTGAACTTGAATTCTTCTTCTAAATCATTAATTTTGATTCACAGATTTCTCAAGGAACGCCTTGAAACTACGTTTATTGTACAGAGGAAGTGAACAGGCCGCCACCTTTGGTGCTCAACTTTTCTGAAAAAACAACTTAAGAGTCAAGTTGTGACGCAGACAAATAATTCATACATCCCCTTCCTATTGCATCTACTATTTGATCCCAATAGTTAATACATCAGCAAATTTAACTCGGGATGAGTCGGTCCTTGGAAGCATTAAATGCTAACTAAAATTCCTATGTACATTTCACGAAATTAAGAACTTAATTTCTTTTTAGATTATGTGAACTTCGTGAAATTAACAAGTCATTTTGCTCATCACTCTTTATGAAATGAATCGACACATAAGTATCCATGAGCTTGTTTATTAAAAGCGGAATATATCATTTTAACCTTATGACATAATAACCATAGAAAAAAAGAGATTTGTGAAGTTTAAGAAAAAGGGTAACGAAAAATGTCAACATTAAGGAGAATAATAACATCTTTAAAAAGAAAAGTGAATCAAAGCAACTACAAAGGAGAAAATTAATCTCAAAACATACAATGACAAAGATCTATCTGGACTCGGAGGAACAAACAAGAAGAAAGATGTACTCACTCCCAAGGATCCAAAGAAAACTCAAACCCAATAGCAAAACATATTAGAAAAGTTCTATCCCTTACAGAAAACATCATCATCAAGCCACAACTTTCAACAGAAACAAACATAATATTAACTAACAATCACATGCAATAAAATTATTCATCAAACTAGTATCAACATATGTGAACCGCGTAATCATTTACTTTCAACTCTATCAAGCCCCCGTTTGGCCCCCATTTCGTGATAATGAAAATATGTGGAATAGTGATTTTTTGAAAAATGAGTGGTTAAAAAAAATGGAAAAGTTTTCGATTTACGTGTAATATTATTTTATGAAAGATTGTGTGATTGAAAATAGGAGAGAGAAAAATAGAATGTAATGCAATGGAATTTAATGGGGGCCAAACGAGGGCCAAACTTTGTTTTGATATTCCATGTTCACTTCAAACTCAATATTGAAACTTCATTTTCACAATCAAAAAACTCTCTTTGTAAGTAATATACATACTAACTTAACAATTTAACAAAATAATAATCTCAGGATAAAATCCAGTTCTAAAAAATAAGGGGAAAAAAAAGACTCCATACAGAGCACTGGTTCTGGTACAAGAAATTTCTCATTTAAAAAAAGAAAAAAGAAAAAAAAAAGAAGAAATAAATATCACTTCAAGATAACCATCAATTCCATTTCAGATTAAACCATTAAATGTAAAATATTTCTTTTCCCCGTGGGTTTGAGGGTGTAAAATCATGAAAGCAAACATTTCTTTTATTTTTATTTTTCCACATAACAAAACCTCCAAATTTTTTATATCGACACATAAAATTAAAATATTACCAAAACAAAAATCTCTCTATTGAAAATTTAACTTCAATTATCAACTTCAATTCATGATCGAAACCCTTACGATTACAAATTATTTGAGCAAATAATGATATTCTAAAAGCTAAACAATAGAAAATAATAATAAATAACTAAAAATATATAAATACATATGCTGAGTTACACATGTTTCATCATACCTGTCTTGTAGTTCCACTAAATATTTTGAGCAGGGGAGACAAAACTGAGCTAGGGTTCTTCGAACGAAAAGGCCATTGAATCCAAAAGCTATTCGTCACCTAATATATTTTATTATTTTATTTTAGTGTGTATGTACAGTTGTACCACGGAGAAAACGCGAGTTTGGTTGGTACGCTAAGTTCCCTTTCCCCTACCAAAATTTACCTATTTTTAAACTTTATTGGAAATTCAGAAATTCTAGCCCACGTTCGAATGCCATATAATGAATTTTGAAATTGTGATTTTTTCAAATAATGTATTGTTAAAAAGTAAAGAATTTTTTTAATTTACGTATAAAATATTTTAAAAATAATGTTATTTATACATAAATAGTTACATAATGATTATATACAAACAGGGGCAGATCCAAAATAACTTTTCAGTGGGGGCGAGACAAAAAAATGAGTTAAAATAAATTGTGAAAGTATTTTTTGAATGTTTCAAGTCCGGACGAGGTTGGTGGTGCTTGGTGGAGAAGCACTTTGGAATGCTCCTAAATTTTCGCAGTTGTTTTTTTCTTCAAAGACAATATTTTAGGTATGTTCTTTTTTGTTTTATTTTTTTGTCGACCTTTTGTGATTTTACAAGAACAGAAAAATAAATTGGAATACAACTATATCAATACTATTCAATCATTTTTGTGGTATGATGGAATTGACACAAAAAATTAAAAGAGAGAGAGAGCTAAAAACAAAACACAAAAAGAATAATAAAAAAGTTCATGAGAATTGAACCCAAGACTTTCTGCAACCAGAGCAAGAGATATACCACTAAACTAAATACCCAATGTTTGTTATAAATTTTTTTTGAAGGTATTTGAATTTTCATTGGGGGTGACTGCCCCCACTGGACCCTTAATAGGTCCACCCTTGCATACAAATGGGGTGTTAAAAAAAAGGAGGCGAAATTTTTATTTTATTTGGTTGAAGAAATTGTAACACGGTCATATCTCACTTTATTACGTGTATATAAATCATTATATAAATGTATTATGTAAATGTAGTACAACCGAATATTATACTATCCAAATGAGTTGTTGAAAATGAATTTGAGAAAAAAGAGTTTTGATTTAATGGATGTCAAACATGGGTTTAATGCAATTATACTTATAGCATCTAGTTGGTGGAAATTAAAATTAAATTTTTAGTAAATTTTAAAAAGTTGATAAAATTTATGGTTAAAAAGTTGTAAATTTTATGAATATGTGGTTTAAATTAATTATTAACTTTAACAGGATCGCAGTAAACTTTGGAGTGTCATACTTTGTAAATTTGTAACTTTCTTTGTGTTTTCTCGTCAACCTTTTCTATGGTAAAGGCCGTTTCTATTTTTTTTTTTTTTTTTTTGATATCCAGGTATCCCAACTTACACCGGACTAAATCCTGGACCCCCAAGACCCTTGCCCCTAGAACCTTGGCGGGGGGTAAATCGCGGGTTATGCCTCAACTGGATCACGGGTTCCTCCCATTGCCTGTATACTTCTGCGCACAAGAGACCTTCCTCCACAGTGATTGCTCCATACCAAATTTTTGATCGCAGGTTCCCACCAGGAATCGAACTCTCCACCCTGTCGCTAGAAGCAAGACAATGTTGATTGATTCACCAGTTGAGCTGTGTCCCGAGGGCACGTAAAGGCCGTTTCTTGATATCATGGGTGATGGGACACTTGCTGAAAATAGATGTTGAGCACGTGTTGTCGAACAATTTTGGGGTGATAATGAATTGAGTAAATCTTTATTTGGTGAAGATAAAATAATAGATCTTAATGTTGACCCCGTTTTTCGTGATGGCTACATGGACAACAGATGTCTGACCAACTTATGTGTACACAAGCAAATTTCGACACGTTTTCACCAGAGATTTGGTTGAAGATATGCTGTAGTTATATACGTGAGAGATGCTTTATGATATGAGACATAAACATTTGAGCACCGATAATATCATAAAAGATTGTTGTACATAAACCATCGATTATGGATAACTTTATTAAAATGAAGACAAAACCAAATCGTGTATATGAATATTTGAAAGGAGAAGTTAAGTGCGGTTTTAAGCATATATATATGTCATCCCTTCAAAATATTACAGGAGTTTCTATTTATAGAGTTTTGGGCGCCGTGGTGACAATTGGATCAGAATCACATGGCCTTATCTCATTAATTGAAGCCTCGCATCATTCTCTGCCATACATTTAATACATTGATAATGGGTCGGTCGTCTTACACTCTAAGCTGACAATTCCGACATTCATTAATTTAACCATTATATCAATCTTTCCTAGGGATATTCTATAGATCTCTTGAAAGACATCAAGTGCTTTAGCTTCAAAGATGGCTTTGGACGAGGAAGGTTCGACTGCAGAGAGCTTCGGATGGAGATAGTGCTTCGACAGAGAAGAGCTTTAGGAGTTTCAAAACAATGAGATAGTGCATCAGCAATTAACTTCTTTATGTTGACCATTTGAGTCTTTGTTCGTTGTTAGATGTCTCCACGTGGCTTCCCACTAGGAGCTTTGGGTTACGAGACTTAACAATAGTCCCTCAAATCTAGGCATGATTATTTATGTAATACATGGACTTCTATTATCTATGTAATGTATGGACTTAAACTAGAAATTATTTATGTAATGCATGGCAAGATGGTTGTCATTTGATAAACTAAGGCTTTTATTATTCGTAATACTTTTCAAATAATCTCAGTTGTCATATTTTATTGGAACAAATGAAATTTCGTGGAATTTTTCATTAAAAGTATTGAATTTTTAAAAAAATAAAAATAATAAAATTAAATGGGGTGTGATCATTTTATGCATACGTGCCCTGGGGCGAAGTCCCCCGTCCCAAATACCCAATTAAGTTTGTAATCTTGACCTCGACACGTTCGGGAAGGGACCATGCAAGTATCGAGTTTGACACATTTTTTGGCTATCCCTATTGAGTGAAGATACAAATCTCAATTATTCTTTTGAGAATAACCATTTAGGATGATATGTGCATCTCATAAAAATTAATTATTAACTTACTTTTACATAAAATAATATTGAATTATGAATTTTTGTTGGGCTACTCAATTGCTTTCAAAGCCCATTAATATACGGATAAAGCTTGGGCTTTTTAATGCGTTCACGTGGATCTTCAGGTTGCACGTTTACCTGGGCTTTGTATCAGCCTCCTAAGCGCCTTGTAATATTTGCTCCCATCTCCTCAATTGTTTTTGGTTATTATATAATAATCTAGGTTTTATTTATTTTGTAACACGTAATCAGGCCGGTTCTTAGACTGATTTCTAGTTTTTCCTATAAAACCAGTCGAGAATGTTTCTTTTGGGGTGTTCTCTACTAGAGATTGGTGATAATTAGACTTATTTAGATTTGTGTGTAGGTAAAATCGGCCTTGTTATAGTATTGGGATCCAAGCTACACATACAGAAAAATTGTGTACAAAAGTGGTACAGAATACACATATGTAGGGGTGGGTGGGTTATTTTTTACAATATTTTAATTTACCTCATGTGAGTGTCTGTAAGTTATCTATGGATCATTTTTCTGTACCACCAGATTTTTCCTAACATTGATCAAGATATGAATAGTCGAGAATGTTTCTTTTGGGGTGTTCTCCACTAAAGATGGGTGATAATTAGACTTGTGTGTAGGGTTGACAATGGATCCTAGCCGTTCGTTGCCTTGAAAAGTCAAACTCGAATTTCTACTGAGTTAAGTTGAGCTTGGCAAATAAATCTTGTAGGCTTCACGAGACCACAAGTCCGCTCAATTTTTAATTACGTTAAATTTTTTTAATTTTTATCATGTATATCTTTTTTTTCTATATTAGTTTAAATTGTGTCTAAAAGAAAGAAAAGTTCATGATTCGACTTGGTTCAACTCGCGAACGTGGTACATGGACCACCCAAGCCTTATGAGCAGGCCCATGGTGTAGCTCAAATGACTAAAGGGAAATCTTACTAAATCCCTATTTGGTTTTGCTATTAACATGATTTTTAGTAAATTTTGGTAAAATTGATAAAATGCGTAATTAAATTGTTATCAACTTTTTGAGTTAAAGGAAACATGAGCTAAATAAATTATAAAAAAGGGCATTTATTATATTAAATTATTATGAAAGAATGTCTGGGCTGGACAATGATTCCTTACTTGTACAAGATGTAATAAACACAATTTCGTTGTTAAATGTAATCACTTACACAAAGGCTGAATTGTCTCTGTCAAATAAAAAAGCAATTAACTGAAAAGTAACTAAACAAACAGCTTATGAATGTCAGCTTTTATTGATCTATCTTTCAAATTAATCAACTTTAAGATCACTTAAAAGTAATCGTTCTGCACCACAAGTCCAACCTCTACTTTTCTCAATATTTTATATACGTGGGTAAGTCTCTTATTCAAAAAATGAGCTCGATTAAACGAAAAAAATTATGTAAGGCTATGTTTGATTGCACCCCTAATTCCATGAAAAATAGAAATCAAGTTTTATCTTTTCAATTTTTTATTGTTTGATTGGCAAAATTTTCCCTAAAATTCAAATTCCACCTTTTATGCCACCTAAGATAATTTCCATGTTTTCCTTGAATTCCAATTCTCACCAGAATGGCGAGAATTGAAATTCTCGGTTACAATGGCACTTTATTTTTCAATTTTTTTTTGGTTGGCAATCGTAACAAATTCTAAGAATTATTTTAAAAAAATATTTTCCTTTAGATGACAATTTTCATGTAAAACAAAGCTAAACGAACATAAAAAGATAGATGATTTTTTTAAAATTTTTGTTTTTTGTTTTTTGTGTGTTGGCAATGGGAACAAATTTAATCTCCGATACCAGCAAAATCTATCCCTTTAATTGACAATTTCATATAAAACATATCCAATTGGAGATCAAAAAGCACTTTTATTTCAACATTTTCCACATGAAAAATTATCCCGATCAAACATAATAATTTACAATTCTCAGGAAAACAATTTCCAGGTAATTCAATTTCCTAGAATTCGTTTTCAATTCAATTCAATTCCCTCTTTACAATCAAACGGATCCTAAATATTTAACTAGCAGTACGATAAAGATTAACAGTCGTATTTGAGAGGTCTAATTAGG